AGCTGAATGTGTTCCAAGCAGCTGAGGACTGCAGTTGCTGGCTCTACATCACAGCCTCTCCTGACACACTGAGCCTATTGGTCATGCTTGGTCCAGAAAGCTACCATCTTCCCTATTCTTTGACCAGCTTTCCTCCTGGCATCTTAGGCATCTCATCTGCTGAATTGCCCTCCACCACACCTGGGGACACTCATAGGCTTCACTGTTCTTATTCAGACCTGGCAACCAAACTAAGACCCTGGCCAAGCACTCGCATTGGATAGGTCACCATTAGACATTGTATTAGATGGGTCGCCATTAGACATTGTATCAGAATTAACACGACTCTAACCACTCCATCCCTAACCTCTGCTGTTGTCACATTGCCTTGGGGACCCCACTTGGCACCAGCATGGGCAGAACACCAGTAGAATTCCTGGACAATCTTAAAAATCCCAGTGACCACAGCCAGGCCTCAAGGTTTCAGGTGTTGATGATTCTGGCCACCAATCTACAACCTGTGTGTCCTCAGGGACTTGCTGTGGGTCCAAGGTTGGATAGAAGGCACCATGTGACCAGTCAGAGTGACAGCACATGACCCCTATCTCCACCAGCCACTTCCTGCCGCTTCCTAAGCCACTGTGCACCTACCATTCTCTCATCTCAACCCAGCCCATCCACCAAGGATGCTCCAATTGACACCACCAAGGTGCACTTAGCCGCGCCTGGAGCATCCTTTCCTGGTCTGTGTTCTCTACATTGCCTTGCCTATGCCCCACGTCTCATTTCCTCCCTCTGGAGAAATACCATCCTAGCCATGAGCTAGCTGCCTGCTCCTGGGGCTGTGTGTGTGCATGCTAGTAGCATGTGAGCGTGCACCAGGGGCAGGGGAGCATGCATTGATGTATTGCAAGCGTTTGAGCCTAGCTTTGGGGCTGGGGAAGGACTCCTGCATGATCCCTCCTCCTCCATCTGCCAGATTGCCCATACCTCCTTTCTCCTTCCTTTTGTTTCTCCCCTTGCTTCTCTCTCTCTCTCTCTCTCTCTCTCTCTCTCTCTCTCTCTCTCTCTCT